TAGCAGAAAGTCTCTCTATTGATAGATTAATTAAGTGTATTTTATCCTAACCACTCCGTAATCCGGCAAACTCACTAATCCAGCACACTACAGGCCCCAATGATGCTGGATTAGTGATGGCTGACCTGTATGTACTACAGTTAATTTTATGCAGTTATGATTTAACCCTTTCAGGGTCGACAGGCCCTCTCCCAGACTTGTTCTCAGGGTCGAAAAAATTAAAAAAAAAAAAAATTTTTTTTTCTTATGAAAAGATAGTTTTTTTTTTAATCTTATAGGCTAAACAAAAAATTTTTACCATCAAAACTTACCGAGACATGGAGGCGTGAAGTTGACAGAAAATGACCGGTATATGGCAACATCGCCGACTGCCAGTCACCCGGTTTTAGTTTATTTAGTTATATTGGTATTATTTTCTATTATTTTTTTATTTTTTTTAAGTAACTTTCATGGCCTGTGAGACCAATATGAGCACTATTTTGTAAGTTTTTCTCTTTATTTACTACACAATAACTGCACAAACACTGTTGTCACTATATTGTTTATAAAAGTTGTTTACACAAACAAATGATATGAAATATTGTTTATTACTATTTTTCTATATTTTATATACACATAAACAGTCACAGGGAATGTTTCTAGAAGTTCTGCAGCCTGTGGAAGTCTTTGAAACATGGTGTCATGCACAGTGGTGTTTTACACTCCTCACACATAAAACGAGTGTCTCTGCATTGTTGTGGGCGTTTTTTTGTACGTGCACAGACATAACACCTCTTCTGAGCCTTTATCTTGAAAGCAGTAGCAGGCAGTTTTACTAGGAAGTTATCACCATGCTTCAGACGAGAAGGTAGTTGTTGATAATTTACTGGGCGGTCTATTGCAGGTGTTGTTCCTTGGTACTTGAATATTATTTGTCTGATGACAGACAAACAAAATTTGCCATATGATGGTTTGTTTCTGGTCCTCATCTTATACATATTATAAGCATTGAGCATGGAAATGTCCAGAAGATGGAAAAAGAGTTTTATGTACCACTTATAACTCTTGCGAACACAATCAGCAAACCCAATCTGCATGTCACATTTGTCCACTGAGTGCATATTGAGGGTGTAGTCAATCACAGCTGCAGGTTTTAGAATGGGCTCATTGCTCTCTCTATGCTGCCTGCCAGTGTTTGTCATTTCGTTAGGGTGAACTGATGACAACAGTGTGATATCTCATTTGTCATGCCACCAAAATGCCATGATGTCATTGGCAGCAAACGCCTGCACCTCACCTCTACGAGTGCCAGCATCAAACCTGGGCTTATGTTTACTATTTGCACGCATTGTGCCACACACACATCTGTCATGTTCACTCGCAAAAAAATCACTGAGTGAGGGGCTTGTGTACCAGTTATCAGTATATAATATATGCCCCTTACCAAGGTATGGTTCTATCATTGTTCTTACCACATCACCAGAGATACCCAATAACTTCCTGGTATTCTGCAATGTATAACTTCCGGTGTACACAATAATATCCAATACAAGACCACTGTAGCAATCACAAACCACAAACAATTTTATACCAAAGCGTTTCCTCTTGCTTGGTATGTACTGCTTGAAAGAGTCTTCCTTTGAACAGAATCAAAGACTCATCAATAACAAGCTTCCTGAAGGGATAAAAATACATATTGAATTTCTATTTCAGATACACAAATACATTCCTAATCTTAAATAACCTGTCATTTCTGTCAGGCCTGGTTTTGTCTGAGAAGTGAAGCATACGTAATAGTAGCACAAATCGATTCACTCGGATTATATCACTGAAACCTGGGGTTGCAATCAGGCGGTCTGTTGACCAGTATGATTTCACACTGCGCTTATACACATGTGGCATAAGCATTATTGTGGCAAAGAAAAGATACATCTCAGCCACAGTTGTCTCCTTCCACCTGTGTAGCCGTGAGCTTGGTGAAAGTATTGTGTTTGCCATGGTGTACTCGTAGTATCTGTTGCTTTCCCTGACAATAATTTCCATCAGGGATTCATCAAAGAATAACTCGAAACATTCCAGTTCAGTGGTATTGTTTCCCAGTGTACAAGATGGCCGTATTCCACTTTGGCTTTCATCAAACTGATGGGGATTTGAAATAAAATTGGCAGCTTCCTGCCAATCCCAGGTGCAGTCTGCTGGTAGGTACTGGACATTGACAGGTGGTTGTGGTTGTGGAGGTTGTGGTTGTGGAGGCTAGTGTGGTGGGTGGGTGGGGGATGGGGACCTTTGTTGTAGATCAGCTGAGGCAGCAGTGTGGGTGGCAGCATGGCCCACTGCTGGTGCCTCACGTCCGGCACCACCACCACCACCACCATGCACATTTTCCATCCCAATTGCAACACTATCATCATCATTTTCACTGTCTGTTCCTGTTGTACAGCCACGGGATGTACTCCGAGATGTACTCCTACCCCTTGGAATAGCATATGGCACACTACCAGAGCGCATATAGCATCATATATACTGACGCTTCACTGGAGAATATTCCACTTCACTATCACTACTGGAACTGTTTTCAAGAGCTTGTAGTTCATATTCAATATCACTATCATCACCAATGCTCACATCTGAGTCTGGGATATGGGAAAACAGGAGTTTCCTCTTTCATTCTGGTACAACTGAACCTGAACAAGACGGCCCAGCAGAAGAGGTGGAAGGCTGAGGGTCGTCTGGGTTTTCCTCACTATTACCGGTATTATAGTCATTAGTTTCGGTCGCAACCTCATCAAAACCTTGAAACTCATCTTCACTGGCACTTCCATCTGTATTAGAACTGTCACTGGGGAACAAAAGTGTCCCAATTTGCCGAGGAGTGAGGAGTTTCTTACCATGAGGCATGGTGAGCAAGGTGTACTAAAATGGTGTTCCTACAATGTGCCACTGGGTCCCAGATTTTTTTCCTACTGCACACACTCACCACGCAGACCCATTCTCTCACATCTAGGCCTACCAGCTGTTTCCCGCTTGATCTGAAGATGCTAGAATTTATGCGTACTAGTACGTCAATAATCCTGGTGCTTAAGCCGTACTAGTACGTCAGAAACCCTGAAAGGGTTAATATTGCATCTTTATGTTTGTTTACATTTCTCTCAACTGCGAATGACACCATGTATGATCTGTAATTGCTTGTGTGCATAAGTTTTGATAAATTTTAATTTTTTATAATAAATCTGTGTATATTTTATGGTAGTAAATGATAAAAATAGACTAGTATCTACATATATTTTATGCCTTCATGACATACCTAACTTTTTCTTAATCTCTTCAATATTTCTAGGCCATGGGGTTAGTCTGCACGTTTTTTCAAATTGTTGCAAATATCCCAAAAATTTTCCAATATATTTATTGAAAATATCCACATATAACCTACATAGTAAGCTGGCAGGCAGCAACTGCCCAGGGAGGTACTACTGTCCTGCCAAGTGAGTGTAAAACGAAAGCCTGTAATTGTTTTACATAATGGTAGGATTGCTGGTGTCCTTTTTTCTGTTTCATAAACATGCAAGATTTCAGGTACGTCTTGCTACTTCTACTTACACTTAGGTCACACTACACATACATGTACAAGCATACATATACACACACACCCCTCTGGGTTTTCTGCTATTTTCTTTCTAGTTCTTGTTCTTGTTTATTTCCTCTTACCTCTATGGGGAAGTGGAACAGAATTCTTCCTCCGTAAGCCATGCGTGTGGTAAGAGGCGACAAAAATGCCGGGAGCAAGGGGCTAGTAACCCCTTTTCCTGTATATATTACTAAATGTAAAAGGAGAAACTTTCGTTTTTCCTTTTGGGCCACCCCGCCTCGGTGGGATATGGCTGGCGTGTTGAAAGAAGAAAGAAACATGCAGGATTTCAGGTACATCTTGCTACATCTACTTACACTTAGGTCACACTACACATGCATGCACAAGCATATATATATATACATACACCCCTCTAAGTTTTCTTCCATTTTCTTACTAGTTTTTGTTCTTGTTTGTTTCCTCTTATCTCCATGGGGAAGTGGAACAGAATTCTTCCTCCGTAAGCCATGCATGTCATAAGAGGCGACTAAAATGTCAAGAGCAAGGGTCTAGTAACCCCTTCTCCTGTATGCATTACTAAAGTTAAAAAGAGAAACTTTTGTTTTTCTTTTTGGGGCACCCTGCCTCGGTGGGATATGGCTAGTTTGTTGAAAGAAAAAGAAGATCCACACATATAAGTGGAACCATGCAGTTCAGGCCTGTGTTGTTCAAGGGTCAACTGTATAGAAGTTTAAGTGCACAATGAAGTGAGAATTTCCATAGCTCCATTGTTCATCTTCAAACCTCACCCTTTGTATCAAATTTAGGGCAGGAAGAGGCCATTCAAAACAAGAGTATTGTACTGAATATTAAGTAACTTCAGAGGGAAAAGTAATTTTTTTAAATTTTCACATTAAAAAATACAATGTAGGATAACTCAATAATGTTACATTATGTACAGAAGAATCTATAAAAAATGCTACAAAATTCCTGTGGTATTTTTTTCAGAAATGACAGCCACAGACACAGACATATTTTTATCAAAACAGCAATGCTGTAAGAAAACTTGGCAGTAATAAACAAGTCAAACCTAAAAATCATAAATTTGTGACATATTGCAGAATATGTTGAATAATGTTGAGGAAGAATAAAAACAATACATTCACGGAGATCAGTGATGCAAATTAATATACAAGAACACCTTAAAATACACAATGTCAAGTGATATCCATAATTTTTTAGTGGACTTTCATGCTAGTAAAGCATGAGCTAAAGTTTAGGATTTAGAACAGCAGTCATACATCTTTATTTAAATTCCACATTGGCAGAAAGCCTAAAAAACCATCCACATGAACAGACTATGATAGTTTGTGGGATAGCAAGTCTAAGGATTATATCACGTCATCCTTGAAAAAAAAAAAAGGAAAATCAGAGATTATTATTTTATGACTCTTACCTGTAACATTGGTAGATGGTAAGCCACCATTCAAGGAGTCCATCACTCCTAGTTCTGAGAGTGTCTTTGGCACAAACTCTGGTTTTGGAATACTAGCAGCTTCATTTTTCCTGTAGTTGGCAAAAGATGGCATTAGACAAGATAACACCAAAGCTTTTTCCTGCCAATTAGATAGGCAGAATAAATTATTAGAAATAAACCACCTAAAAGTTGCATGATGTGGCTTCTATAACAAAATAAAACAAGTCAGTGATACACATGGGTAGTTACATGGAATTTACCTTTGAAATAAGATGTTAACATGATACTGTGCTATGCAAATCTATTTGTGAAAATATAACAAATCTTACTGAAGCAGCTACAGTATTTATATACAGGACTAGATTACATGACAAGATAATAAACAACTTTAAATTTTGCTCACTTAATGATACTGACCCAGCTGCAACAAACAAATCAATATCTTTTAGATAAAGAAATTTCATCTATCTATGACATATATCTAATGCTTCAGTCACAACTGAATATTCTTTCCATACCACGGGCGGGATTTGAACCCGCGGTCATCGTGTCATTACGATTTCGTGAGTCATGAATATTCTTTACCACTTAGTTGAAGATAATGACCCAAGGACTATTATAGTTCATTATCTAATAAGATACATTACTCTAAATGCCAGTATTTTTGTTATTTAGATTTGCATTAATCAAATAATTAATGAAATATACACTGCCTCCTGTTGCTTACTTGTCATGGAGTGTTCCTGCCAGAACTTCCAAGATCTCAGTACACTGTCTATGATAATCAAGCAAGTTCTCTGCAAAGGTTGCAAGTTGCGAAATCTGCTCAACCTGTTTCAGAAAAATTAAACAAACAAAATATTCAGGTAAATGTATATATTAATAATACATTGCAAAGTGAGAGGAAACTTTTAAATATCTTCATAAAATGCATATTATAATATTCAACCTCAGACTACATTCATATGTCTTGCTCATCATTTTTCCTCAATTAAAATGAGATCAATGGTTCTAAGATATTTCATGGATGATATATGTAAACAAAATATAAATGCTTCTTACATTTACTGATACAGTAATTTTACTTCACTCAATTTTAAAAATGGAAATGGAAAGATAATTCTCACACATATAATCGAGATTTTCCAAGCCTTCTCAGGTATTCAAGATTCAATATCAGCATTTCCACCTAAATATCATATTTTCGTTTCACAAAACAGGTATAGTGAAAATCTTCACTGCTCCCCCCCAAAAGTTAATCTCCTGCCTTTGCAATATTATAAACATTCTTTCCTAGGTTGTATGAGAGGTGCAGAAATTAGAAAATAGTGTGAGGTTACAAAAGGTATAATTAACAAAGCAGAGACAGGACTTGATGAAACAGAATAGAATGACAAAGAGATTGTATAAATATGGGGTGGAGGGAAGTTTGGGCAGGGGTCATCTTATGAAGGACTGGAGGGAGGGATTGATGGAAATTATAAGCGGTAGATGCTTGAGCATTCAGCAGGTACGTGTGAAAGTCTTAGATTAGAGTGAGCAAAGACGTGGTTTTTTTGAGCTTGATGTGCTGCTAAAAAGTGTGAGCAAAGTAACATGAAGAGATTCAGGGAAAAATAATTAGCTGATGAGTCGTGGAAGTGGTAAGTACAGTGTCTGCACTGTGAAGGAGGGTTGGAGGTGGGAAGTACAGTGTCTGCACTGTGAAGGAGAATTGGAGGTGGGAAGTACAGTGTCTGCACTGTGAAGGAGAATTGGAGGTGGGAAGTACAGTGTCTGCATTGTGAAGGAGGGTTGGAGGTAGGAAATACAGTGTCTGCACTGTGAAGGAGGGTTGGAGGTAGGAAATACAGTGTCTGCACTGTGAAGGAGGGTTGGAGGTAGGAAGTACAGTGTCTGCACTGTGAAGGAGAATTGGAGGTAGGAAGTACAGTGTCTGCATTGTGAAGGAGGGTTGGAGGTAGGAAATACAGTGTCTGCACTGTGAAGGAGAATTGGAGGTGGGAAGTACAGTGTCTGCACTGTGAAGGAGGGTTGGAGGTAGGAAGTACAGTGTCTGCACTGTGAAGGAGAATTGGAGGTAGGAAGTACAGTGTCTGCATTGTGAAGGAGGGTTGGAGGTAGGAAATACAGTGTCTGCACTGTGAAGGAGGGTTGGAGGTAGGAAATACAGTGTCTGCACTGTGAAGGAGGGTTGGAGGTAGGAAGTACAGTGTCTGCACTGTGAAGGAGAATTGGAGGTAGGAAGTACAGTGTCTGCATTGTGAAGGAGGGTTGGAGGTAGGAAATACAGTGTCTGCACTGTGAAGGAGGGTTGGAGGTAGGAAATACAGTGTCTGCACTGTGAAGGAGGGTTGGAGGTAGGAAGTACAGTGTCTGCACTGTGAAGGAGAATTGGAGGTAGGAAGTACAGTGTCTGCATTGTGAAGGAGGGTTGGAGGTAGGAAATACAGTGTCTGCACTGTGAAGGAGAATTGGAGGTGGGAAGTACAGTGTCTGCACTGTGAAGGAGGGTTGGAGGTAGGAAGTACAGTGTCTGCACTGTGAAGGAGAATTGGAGGTAGGAAGTACAGTGTCTGCATTGTGAAGGAGGGTTGGAGGTAGGAAATACAGTGTCTGCACTGTGAAGGAGAATTGGAGGTGGGAAGTACAGTGTCTGCACTGTGAAGGAGGGTTGGAGGTAGGAAGTACAGTGTCTGCACTGTGAAGGAGGGTTGGAGGTGGGAAGTACAGTATCTGCACTGTGAAGGAGGGTTGGAGGTAGGAAATACAGTGTCTGCACTGTGAAGGAGAATTGGAGGTAGGAAGTACAGTGTCTGCACTGTGAAGGAGAATTGGAGGTAGGAAGTACAGTGTCTGCATTGTGAAGGAGGGTTGGAGGTAGGAAATACAGTGTCTGCACTGTGAAGGAGGGTTGGAGGTAGGAAATACAGTGTCTGCACTGTGAAGGAGGGTTGGAGGTGGGAAGTACAGTGTCTGCACTGTGAAGGAGGATTGGAGGTAGGAAGTACAGTATCTGCACTGTGAAGGAGGGTTGGAGGTGGGAAGTACAGTGTCTGCACTGTGAAAGAGGATTGGAGGTGGGAAGTACAGTGTCTGCACTGTGAAGGAGGATTGGAGGTGGGAAGTACAGTGTCTGCACTGTGAAGGAGGATTGGAGGTAGGAAGTACAGTATCTGCACTGTGAAGGAGGGTTGGAGGTGGGAAGTACAGTGTCTGCACTGTGAAAGAGGATTGGAGGTGGGAAGTACAGTGTCTGCACTGTGAAGGAGGATTGGAAGTAGGAAGTACAGTGTCTGCATTGTGAAGGAGGGTTGGAGGTAGGAAATACAGTGTCTGCACTGTGAAGGAGGGTTGGAGGTAGGAAATACAGTGTCTGCACTGTGAAGGAGGGTTGGAGGTGGGAAGTACAGTGTCTGCACTGTGAAGGAGGATTGGAGGTAGGAAGTACAGTATCTGCACTGTGAAGGAGGGTTGGAGGTGGGAAGTACAGTGTCTGCACTGTGAAGGAGGGTTGGAGGTAGGAAGTACAGTGACTGCACTGTGAAGGAGGATTGGAGGTAGGAAGTACAGTGTCTGCACTATGAAGGAGGGTTGGAGGTGGGAAGTACAGTGTCTGCACTGTGAAGGAGGATTGGAGGTAGGAAGTACAGTATCTGCACTGTGAAGGAGGGTTGGAGGTAGGAAGTACAGTGTCTGCACTGTGAAGGAGGGTTGGAGGTAGGAAGTACAGTGTCTGCACTGTGAAGGAGGGTTGGAGGTAGGAAGTACAGTGTCTGCACTGTGAAGGAGGGTTGGAGGTGGGAAGTACAGTGTCTGCACTGTGAAGGAGGGTTGGAGGTAGGAAGTACAGTGTCTGCACTGTGAAGGAGGATTGGAGGTAGGAAGTACAGTGTCTGCACTCTGAAGGAGGGTTGGAGGTGGGAAGTACAGTGTCTGCACTCTGAAGGAGGGTTGGAGGTGGGAAGTACAGTGTCTGCACTCTGAAGGAGGGTTGGAGGTGGGAAGTACAGTGTCTGCACTCTGAAGGAGGGTTGGAGGTAGGAAGTACAGTGTCTGCACTGTGAAGGAGGGTTGGAGGTAGGAAGTACAGTGTCTGCACTGTGAAGGAGGGTTGGAGGTGGGAAGTACAGTGTCTGCACTGTGAAGGAGGGTTGGAGGTAGGAAGTACAGTGTCTGCACTGTGAAGGAGGGTTGGAGGTAGGAAGTACAGTGTCTGCACTGTGAAGGAGGGTTGGAGGTAGGAAGTACAGTGTCTGCACTGTGAAGGAGGGTTGGAGGTAGGAAGTACAGTGTCTGCACTGTGAAGGAGGGTTGGAGGTAGGAAGTACAGTGTCTGCACTGTGAAGGAGGGTTGGAGGTAGGAAGTACAGTGTCTGCACTGTGAAGGAGGGTTGGAGGTGGGAAGTACAGTGTCTGCACTGTGAAGGAGGGCTGGAGGTAGGAAGTACAGTGTCTGCACTGTGAAGGAGGATTGGAGGTAGGAAGTACAGTGTCTGCACTGTGAAGGAGGGTTGGAGGTGGGAAGTACAGTGTCTGCACTGTGAAGGAGGGTTGGAGGTAGGAAGTACAGTGTCTGCACTGTGAAGGAGGGTTGGAGGTAGGAAGTAGTGTCTGCACTGTGAAGGAGGGTTGGAGGTAGGAAGTACAGTGTCTGCACTGTGAAGGAGGGTTGGAGGTAGGAAGTACAGTGTCTGCACTGTGAAGGAGTGGAGATGTTCATGTTTGAAAGGTCATTTGACTTGACTTGTGATATCTTCACACTTCTGGAAAGAGAACTATTGAATGAATGATGATGAATGTGTTTACCCTTTTGGGTCTCTCTACTTTAGTGGGAGATAGCTGATGGAGAAAAAATTGTAAGTTAGTTTTTTCTGTAATGTATCTATCTTTTTTTTTTTAAACACTGGCTGTCTTCCATCGAGGTAGGGGGCGACCCAAAAAAGAAACACTTTTACTATCATTCACTCCATCATTGTTTTGCCAGAGGTGTGCAGACACTACAGTTCTGATGCTCTTCAAACTGCAAATATCCTAACCCATCTTTCAGAGTGAAAGCACTGTACTTCCCACCTCCAGGACTCAAGTACGACTAACTGGTTTCCCTGAATCCCTTCACAAAATGTTACCTTGCTCACACTCCAACACCTTGTCAGGTCATCAAAATCATTTGCTTCCACTCACTCCTATCTAACATACTCACATATGTCTGCTGGATGTCCAACCCCCTCACACACAAAACCTCCTTTACCCCCTCCCTCCAACATTTCCTAGGGTAACCCCTACTCAGCCTTCCCTCCACTACAGATTTATACACCCTCCAAGTCATCCTATTTTGCTCCATCCTCTCTAAACATCTGAATCACCTCAACAACCCCTCTTCAGCCCACTGGATAATACTTTTAATAACTCCACACCACCTAATCTCCAAACTACAAACTCTCTGTATAATATTTACACACCACATATTGCCCTCAGACATGACATTTCCACTGTCTCCAGCCTCCTCCTTGCTGCAATACTTTTCTATTCTTTCCTATTTAATTACATTAAGTGTATTTCTACTCTGTAAAAGTAGAAAAGTGAAGTGTGAGGACAGAGTGAAGTAGTGAAAGATGATAATGATGATGACTGATTAATGCCAGATGCTGGCTGATAATACAATAATAATGAATAATGATTAATGATAACAATGAAAGATGGATATTGATATTCCATTGCATTTTGTAGTCTTCATATTGGTTTATATGCAAGTCCCACACTCAAACTGTGCATTTAAAGTGGGTGAGGAAGTTTAAATCAAAATGAAATTTAACCCTTAAACTGTCCAA